TGATGGCACGTGACGTCCAAAAACGCTGTAAATAAAAATAATTCTAACATCATCTTATTCCTTTGTGTCCCTGAACCATGAATAGCAAAGAATCGACGCAGGACAAATATTTAAATTTTTGTTACACTCGTTTGCTCCTGTTTCGTGAAGTTAATGCATATAGGTTAGTAACAAGAACAAAGAATTCACCAATTAAAAGATCAAAATGAATCGAGAGCTTAGTTAAAGCTTACAGGAAGGTCGTCTTGAGAGTCAGTGAGATTACGTCTCATTTTCTGTCAGTTGTGCAGTGATATTTAGGTCATGATATTGCAGAAGGCTGCGCACGTCTTGCTAAAAGTTGTTCCCATGAACTGGCCATGACAGCACCAGGTGGGAGACGTAAACCTGTTAATGAGGGACGTGCTCTTGGCGCATACGGACTGGTTCTGAGTTTGGTTGAACAAAAAGGAGCCAGTCCGCTGGTGGAAATAACTTGGATCATGGTACGGACTTCTGACGCGTAATTTCACTGTGACATAACTTTGGTCGAAACTCTGGCCCGTGAAAAATTTTGTCGTCTTAACGTTTGTTGCGCAAACTTCTCTCACGATAACTTTTGTACTCGCAGAGTCAGTCACTCACTCACTCAGTTTCGATCATTGCTTACCCATTCGGTTCATGGAGGCAGACATGTCCGACAGTGTCTGCAATGTTTCCAATCCTTTGCCAACCTTTGAGCTTCGGTAGAACATTACACAAGTCTAGATCAGAGTGTACCGACACTTGCCAAAAGTCATTTTTGAATGTCCCAGGGGTCTTCGGCTGGTCGGTTTGGCAAGTAATAGTTTTTTCGCCTTTATTTCTAGAAACATTCGCAAGACGTGCCCAAACTATGAGGTTGTGAATTCTCAATCTGAACAAGCACCGGCTTATATCAAGACTCTCTCTCGGATATTGCCGAGAAGCGTGAGACAAGCGATTCGTCTTAGAAATCTTACTTCAGTCACTTGTACCCGGGAGTAAAGTTTTGCAATTATGGCCAACTCATGACCGTCAATGAACACTGGGATGAAGATCGACTTGAACAGTGAACAAAATGATACTAAATGCATCTGGTACTGCAGCTTCTTAAAAAGCATGGAACCATGGTCTGCTTAAATGGTCCCCAGGACAACTAGGAGCATGGGGGCGGCGCAAAACGTCGTGAAATCGGGTCTTGGAGCAACTATGCGCTATTCGACATTATTTTAGTTTTGTTTTCGCGCGTTTGCGAGGGTCAGGGTTATTTCATTTGAATTTGAAAGCCAATATCTCAGCAATAATGAAATGTTATCAAAAAATATTTCCATCAGTCTTTTACCTTCCTTGTTCTCAAAACTTTTCCTGCAAAAGGCTCTGTACTGAATCTGCTTATCCGAACTATTTGACTTCTTTATTTCGACACAAAACTTCTGTTGTCGCCATCTCTTTTCCAGGGCAAAAGATGTCTGCAGAAAAATTGTGTACTCTGAAGATGTCTGATCCGGGTGACATGGAGCGTCTGATGCACATCAGAGGCCATATCTCAACAAGTGTTTCGAAGTTCCCAGCATCTAAGGACTGTAGACTCTCGAACTCCATGGAACCGATTTTCTTTTAAGCTAAATAAATGCTCAAATGTGTTTGAATGTTCAAACGCTCAAAATTTCTCAATCATATTTGAGACGTTCTGATCATATGCTAGAGCAGAAAGAAGGACAATCTTTAAAATGCTCTCTTTAAGTCGCACTGAAACCGAAAGAGAAGCAACATTTCAAGTAGGCTAGCAAATGTAGAAAAGTAAAATAATAATAATATAACAATGCTACTAAACCAAACTTCGCTTAACCTTAATCTGAATATTTACCAAACCAATAAAAGCCAAAGAAAATTTTTCTATATTTAATTCTAAAAATTTTTAACACAAAACAAGTAATACTATACATACACACCAATTTATTGTCCTACTCTTAGGCTTTACACGACAAAGTCGCACTTTCTACTGCCTGTCAAGAAGGTTTAACAAGCCGTGATTTAACGGAACTTCAGCACCTGCGGTGCAAGGATGCAAAGCCGCATCATTGTGCTTGATGAAGCCAAAACATGTTCGAACACCTGCCGAAATTTCACCGTTCGTATGCATTTACAGGTGGATAAAAATCATCCTGATATCATGGGTGATATTTTTACATGTTACAGATTATATAAAGAACCGCGAAGCTGTTGCCTGTATAAACGGCCCCCTGTACCGCTATAAGCAGGATGACGGTACGACTACGCTGTAAATCCGAAGAATGGATAAAAAATCGCTATTTTTATCAAGGGTATCGAAAACCAGTCTTTTGATCGTAAAACTCTAATTATCGGGGTGCATTCTATGTACATATACAACTGTTTCAATCTTTACATATTTAAAACACTGCCTCACTTCTACGCAATGATCCTTCCTGCTTTTGAAAAACAGCATTCTCTGACCGTCCCATAAAAAAGTAATGAATCAAAAATAAGCAGAAAACAATTTGAAACTACAA